CGGGCAAAAGATTACAGAGCTATAGGGTTGTAAGTCTGTCTGATTTTCTGAATTATTCAGAAAAGTGTAACTTTATTTTTCCTTAACTGTTTCAGTCATCCCCTGACCCTTGCAGTATCCTGGGTTTCCTTATGATTTCTCTAAAACTTCCTGCCCCATCATTTGGTTTCTTGCCAGCCATTCATGACTCTGACCTCCATCCTAGCTTTAGTGGTGTGGCTTTTCCTTTCTCTCTTCAATTTGCTGCCTCTAGGTGTAAGGTGACTTACACCTCACCTGCACCAAAGCTTTTCTTTTATGCTCTAATAAAATAGTCTTGTGATTCAAGAAAATAAGATAAATGCATGCACATAAACACTTTTTTTTTCTCCCAGCATGCAGGAGGCAGAGGCAGGCAGATCTCTTCGAGTTCAAGGCCAGCCTGGTCTATAGAGAGAGTTCCAGGATAGGCTCCAAAGCCATACAGAGGAACCCTGTCTCGAAAAACAAAAGAACAAAGCACCACTTTTTTCTTAGACCAAGTCTGACTAGAGTTACAACTGTAGCAAGCCTGGATATGCTGTGTAGGTCCTCTTGCCTCTGACTCCCAAGTTCTAAAATTAATGAGGCATCATGCATGGCTTGTTCCACCCCATCCTTCACCCAAACTTGTGTCTTGATTGTTTGATGCAGAGTCTCAATTAGATCAAGCTGGCCTCAACAAGTGTGTATAGTATGAGGGCCCATATACTCCATGTTGTGCATGTAGAGATTATAGAGGACAACCTTTGGCCTCAGAAAGTACCCACACCGCTCATGCACATATTCACAGATATACATACACATAAATAAAATGTAAAATATTTTAAAGCATGCAACATATTTTGTGCAGCTCAATTTGGACAGGAAACACCCCAGCATGCAATACTGTGAAAGTGGCCTTTAGGCATGTCCTGGCCTTTGCTGTGTGGAATCAAAACAGCTAGTGTTATCCCCAGGAGTCTGTCATAAGACACAGCCCACTATCTTTCTCTTTTGGGGTGGTGGGAACCCACAAGGTCACATTAAACCTCAGTGGGCAACTCTAAGCCCACAAGGCCCTGCCGCTCACCAAGAGTCTACCAGTGACTAACCGTTGCTGGTTCCACAACATTCTCTTTGGTGGCATTGCTTCTGATGGGTTGGTTACCCCTGATTTGCCTATAACTCTCATCCAATTAATTGGTTCTCCAAGCAAGACTTGGGTGAGATGAAGTTTTGGGACTGTCTCGGTTGACGATAATCAGTTAGATTCACCTCAGGAGAAGCTAACATGACCACCTCTGGGACAGAAGACAAAACATCAACTTTCCCTATCACCACCTCCTTGTCATTCACCACAGACAAGTCTGCCTGTTGATATTTTTAAGGGAACTGGGCCGGTGGATATAGATCAGAAGCAGAATGAAAAGCTCAGTGTGGCAGCACACACTTCTAGACCCTGGCACCTGGGAGGTTGAGGCAGGGAGATTGCTCTGGGTTAGTACTGTCTCAGACAAAGGGGGAAAAAAGTGACACAGATCAGCAAGTGAAGATCCGTGCTAACTCCAGTGACCTGTATGATGAACTGGAAAGTGTAAATAAAGTGACCCCCTAGCTGAAGCATCCCTAGTGGGGGCTCTTCTGGGTCTGTGGTTTTTGTGGGACCTAACTTCCAGGTATTGTCAGAAGTGGATTAAATTAGAGATGTCCAGCTGATGTCAAGAGACCTGATAGCAGGAGGGAACTCTCAGCTATCAGGTTTCTGAAATGTTTGCAGATAAACTGTTTCAGGTGCTGGAGATGTAGCTCATTTGGTAGCATGCCCATCTAGCATTCAAGAAACACAGGGTTCAGTCTCTAGCGATCTGTAAAACAGGTGTGATGGTGCACACCTAGAATCTCAGCAATAGATGGATGGAGCAGGAGGATCAGAAGTTCAAGGTCATCCTGAAGGACATAACAAGTTCTAGGTCTGCCTGGAAGACATGAGACCCATCTATGCCCCTACACGCACACACCTGCAAAAGGGAGGGAGAGAGATACTTTTTCCAAAAGCAGTCCTATCATCATCACAACACAGGTTCATCTCTCACTGCTGAGTCTGTGCTACCAGCTGTGCAGGATATTTCTAGTGGTAAATCCACTGTCGGGCCAGCCACTACTGGTAAATCCACTGTTGGGTCAGCCATGGTGACTAATCCTAGCACTCCAAAGGCCGAGGCAGCAGGATTTTGATTACTAGGCTAGCATCATAGCAAGAAAGTTTGTTGTTGTTTTTTTTAAATGAACAAACAAAAGATGAGAGGAAAATTTGTACATTTTCAGCCTTGTGTCTTGGAATTGACCAGTTAGTTAAAGACAGTGAGGCCACATCTTGCTTCTCTGTATAAAATTATGTACTTAAACAATTAAGCAAGATAAATTTACAGAATATTTCAAGATATGGAGAGCTCCTGTTTATCCTTCAAGTAGGTTCCATGACCTAGCTAATGTTTAGATGTTAGTATTTATGGCATACTCTTAAGCTTATCCTGGTCTACATTATGAGTTCAAAGCCAGCCTTGTCAGTTCTTCACTTTTATGTGGGTTCCTGGGATCAGATGTCCCCCATCAGACTTTGATGACAACCACCTTCCTTTACTGAGCTGTCTATCCTCCCCTTGTTTCATTTTTGAAACACACTGCCTCTAGCCTTGAACTGAGGATTTTCCTGCCTCCTGAGTAGCTGGAATTATAAGTGTGCTTAGTGGCACTGTGCTAGAATGTTTTAGAAGGAAAATGAGGAAGTTTGGAAAGGAATGAGCTAGAGCTAACCAGCATTGGTGTCATGAGAAAAAAAATCAGTTGGCATTGATTGATGTAAAAGGCAGGAGACCAGTCATTTCTGTTAGCTACAGGCTATGGAAGTTAGTATTGTGTGCTTCCACAGAAGTGAGAAGACACTTCGAC